CTCTCTCTCTCTCTCCCCTCCCCCCCCTCCCCGCTGTGTGTGTGTGTGTGTGGCAGAGAGAGAAATGGCAAGGAAATAGAGAGGAAAGGGAGGACTTCCAGATGAGCCTCCTTGAGAAAAGAAGAAAAAGACCAAGACGCCAAAAGGCAGGCACGGTAGGAGGAGAAGGATAAGGTTAAAGATGGGGACAATCACAGACACGAAGGAAAGCAGTAAATGCCTTTCTAAAATTGAAATAATGCCGTCCATTCTGGTAAACAAGCTGGCTCGTCCAGGAAATAGCCAAGCTATATGCACCCATCTGCCATTCAGATATCCTCTCCCTCTCTTCTGGAGGGGAAAGCACCCCTTGACATTATCGCATTCCTCAGTCTTTCAACCACGACTGCACGGAAAGCAAAATTATTGGAGCTCATTGTCCACCAGGCCCTCGATGTCTGAAGGGCCGGTGCTAGCCAGGGTCTCCAGTTTATTCAGCATGCCACTATGCCAAACTGCCCCCTGCCCCCAACCCCCCGATCAGCACGATCCTCAGAGGGGTGGTGAAGCAGTGGCAAACTCTGCAATTATTAACCACATCTCAACAGTGTACCATTTCCAGCCAAAATCATGGTACGACGTAACAACGTCCATAATTCTAGTACATTACAGAACATGATCTCAAGCATAGCACGATGCACAGATACAGAGCCAAGTGAGTGCTCCCCCAATTATTAAAAGAAAAAGCTAACGGGGATATTGGCAGGTCGGTGCTTATTATCTTTATTCCACTGACACAAAAGACCTGTGTCCTAAATCATCAACTCCCCTCCACTCCAGCTTTGCGTCTGTCAAAGCCGTTCTGTGGGCTTCAGTCCAGGTTCATCTGTGACTTTGCGAGTTTCTGATCCACCCACATTTTCCTAAAAAAGCCCAATTCTAGGTTGTACCACGAGTTTCGCAAGCCAGCTTGATGTCCAGCATGACTTCCGCAAGCCAGTTCAACGTCCCACCAATATATAGTTCCACCGCTCAGTTCCGGGTCCACATCAACTCCAACATCAGACTGGTCGTTCTATCATTCTCAGCGCTGGAGACCGTGGCAGGAGTCCCACAACCTGGGCATCCCAATCTTCAATTCCAGGTCCCGAAAAGAGGCCCAGACTTTCCGCTTCAACCCAGAACAGGGTCCGCGGTGATCTACTTCCATGACGAACGAGCCCTTTGAATGTGCCGATCACAGGCACCATCAGCTACCAGTCTCCATTTGCCGCTTGGAGGTCCACAGATCCCAGCTTCCGAACCACGAGAATCACAAACCCAGGTTCCCAATTGCTACTTCCAGACCTTGGCCAGGCTATTTGATCATCCAGCGGGACCAATCTGTCTGGACCTATCTTGGACCGCAAGACAAGCCAAATCTCTGACATCATGGGTTTCCCACAACCCACAATGGCATGGTATGACTACACAGGATCTGTACACTGAGCATTTGGCCTACCCTCAGTCATGTTAAGGTTGTGAGCGCACAGAGGAGGGGGGAGAGACAGGCGGAGGGGAGGAGGGGGAGGAGGGGGAGGAGGGGAAGAAGGGAGTGGCACAAGGCGGGCAGAGGGAGGACAGGGCTTAAATCAAGCAGCCGGGACATTTTTCCTTTTGTCTTCTCCTTCTGCTATCGATAAAAGACATTTAAGGAATGGTGTCCGGACAACCTGTCCAGTTGCCAGCATCCGCATCAGTAGGCCATGAAGGGCCCTGAGGTCCTAGCATATAGTCAGATATCTATGAATTAAGACAGCGTGTATATATATACTGATTCGCATGCCCAGACATCTTGTTCAAAATGCCGATAGGGATGACTCGTCTGGCCAGATACGATTGTACACCCCTACGGCTGGCAGCCATTCAGAACAGTGCCCTTGATCCTTGGGCAGTTTTCCAAATCAATGGACCATTTTTTCGGGTAGCTCATGCTTCAAACATGCCTCCATTTTGGGTTATTTCATGCTTCAAACATGCCTCTGCCAGCAACAGGTGCAAACATATTCCTCTCCTTCCGAAGGAAGAATGCAACAAAATCCCTGCACTGGTCCGGAATAAGATTCCAAGAGAATTGCGGGCTGCAAGCAACCCTGGTCAGGGAGGCGCATGCTGCAGGCAAGCTGCGTCCGTAAGCAATACAGAGGCCCTGCAACCCTAGAAGCAAGAGCATATATAGATATATATCCTCAAGAGCATATATCTATCTATCTATCTATCTATCTATCTATCTATCTATCTATATATATAGTCAAACAGAGCTGCCCGGTAAACCGTAGGTAGAGAGGAAGAAGAGGACAACAAACGAGGGGCTGTGACAAACTGTTTCGTCGAAGTTTACATATATATGTCAGCGTAGACATACATATTACGTAGTCACAGAGAACTGCCAGGGTGAACCATGGGCAGAAAGGGAGAAAAGGACGAGATACTGGGGGATGTGACAGACTGTTTCGTCGGAAATTTCAGCGACTCGTTAGGAGGCTGAACCCTCTACGTATATCCCGGTTTGCATGCCCAAAAGGGAGGGTCCACATGCAGCTACAGGTAACCCGGTCCCGCTGGACAGAATTGTACACCCCTAAACAGGCTCATCTGGATCAGTAGCATTGATCCTGGGACCGTTTTCCGAACCAATGGACCATTTTCGGACCATTTCTTGCACTAGTACCACTCGGCCACAGGCAGAGATGAAGATATGTCTCCTCTCAAAACTTAAAAAAAAACTCAAAACAAAAAATCCTTGTGTCCTGCATACACTCCCAAGACCATGGCCGACCTGCCAGCAAACGTGGGCCAGGCAGGAGGGAGGGGGAACTGCATGGGAAGAAGCAGCAAAGCAAAAAATGCACTGGTATGTATAAACACTATATCAAAACAAAGCACGACTGTTAACACCTGCTCTGAACAATTGCAGAGGTTCCGCAGCCGAACCATCCATCGCCAAAGCCATAGCAGTGATGTGAAATGCTGTGTTTGCCGGCATAAAGAAAACACTTCCCTCAGATATCACAGAAGCTCCTCCCTTGCTACCATGCTGCGCTGTGTCGCACGGACTACTTACACACAGCAAAGAACCCCTACCTGAGAATGTCAGACAGATGGAAGGCCCAGGGGAAGCAGGGACTGTGTACCCTGTCCCTGGTTCAATGCTGATCCGATCGACTTCAAATTCATCGAGTGGTGGAGAATACCTTCGTGTCTTCTTATCAATCTGAGTCCCACGGAGTACACATGGCATTCCCTGTTTGTATGTCAACATGGAACACAGAGTATCAACATCTCGGAACTTCGGTGTGAGTCCAGCGCGGACAACATTATCTGATGTGGCCATGCACTCCACACAATCACCTGAGAGATAAGCATGTGGCTCATTTGCCGCAAGGTAAACACCTTCCCCAGGCTTGAGCCTTACATAATTAAGGAAGTAGGCAGCCAAAACCCCAACATCACCCGGATACTCCTGGTTCAGGCGGAGAATCAGAAACTCCTTTGGAGAGAGGATGATACCCTCCATTTTCTTCTTATTTAGCGAAGACACATGCCTTGCAACAGCACCTGAGATTACCTCTTCGCTACTTGTCATGAGCGTCTTGAACGCCTTGCACAAAAGAGAAGCTCTGAACGTCTTATCGCTACCAACAGGGCCTTCCACGCCCTGTGGATTTGCACCCCTATTCTCAATTGCTTCAGCAGAATCAGCACCCAATAATGTGTGGTCACCGCCCCCATTTTCGGCTTGGCGAGCCATGTAATCCTTCCCAACACCATGGGCAGTGAATTCTTCATCATATCCTCTGTTTTTTGTCATGCCGTACACCTGTTCAACAGGCAAATTCCCACCTGTCTGAACATGCCAGGCTTCCCCATGGCCGTTTTCACCAGACGGAACATACGCATGGTCCTCAACCCCATTTTCAGCCCCATTGTCCGCTGATTTTGGCTTGCTGCTAGTCCCATGCTTCTCCGTGAGCACCTCATGCCCATTCCCAGTTTCAGCTCGACCCATCTGCAGCACAGCACGGGTCACGTCCTGCCCAAGTACAGCGGTTAGCTCCGCTGCGGTCTCTAAAGCCTTTGCAAGCTCAGACATTGTCACAAACCCACAGAGTGCTTCGAATGGCGTCACAGCAATTGCCATCTCGGGCTTGTGATTGTCGTCCTTGTATATCTTCGGATATTGAGCATGCAACTTCTCTGCAAGCGCCTTGTCAGGGTGAGCCTGAATCGACAGTGCCGTCGACACAGATAGGACTTTGACAAGGAATGGCAGATCCACAGTCTTCCACCTGTCCAATACTTTATCACCCAGAGCATGGGGGTGATCCTCCAGCCACTCCTTCAACCCAAACTCCACACCTCTATGGTTGTCATCATCCAGACAAATCATGGAAGGCCCACTAGGGTGTGTACCACACCATAGCTCAGCGTAAGGGCGATTCGCTGTCACTGCCTTACCTGTCCCTGCGGCGTGGAGTCGAGCGACAGCTGACTCAAGCCCTAGCCTGCCCCAACCGTAGTGCTTAACAGCGCACTTCAAGGGAATCATGGTTGCAGGTTGCTTTGGTCTGGAGTACAACCAACCAACTAGACTGTCCTTGACAAGACTTGCCCCCATCGTACCACTTTTCCCCTTTGCGTGGCAAACGGCTTCACCGCCACTGCAAATCCGCCACGAGGAGAGACGAGCAAATTGTCAGATTTGCAAGGAAGATGCCATCATCTTTGGTGGAGTCCAACAACCATCCACAAGCCTTTCCATTGTCCCATAAGCTCTTGCAAGGCAGTTCGCTACAGTTTAACTGTTAAATCTACAAGCTCACAAACATACCACAATTGCATTTTTCATTTTTCTTCTTCTCACAATCGCATTTTTCAGACATATGTAAGTTATGAACAAACGACACATACCTCGGGTACTTCAGAACCGAACTGATTCTGTACTTCAGAACCGAACTGCTATCATTTCCTACTGATGCCACGAGAGCATCACTGTTGTCTTTCAGGCTGTCATCATTCCCATGAACATCCAGCAGGCCCAAGGACACTGGAGTAGGCCCAAACAAAAACTTCAACCAGCCATGGTTGACTTCACTAATGCACCAACCATAGTCATTTTGGGCTATTGGGAGCATGAACAGCACCGAAAATGTTCTTAACTTCCCACGCCTTGTTTCTCCACCTGCACTGCATTTCGCATTCCATTCAGCTCATAAACAGACACCAAAACCGGTGTGAGGTTTCCTTTTCACAGTCCTGTATTCAGCATTGCACGCTTCGTTCTTCTGGTACCCCCTTTCTGGGGTTGACATTGGGTGACCATGACCCAACCCAACTGCACCGAGCCGTACCTGGCAGTTTTGGACGGGTGTGGGTATGGCAAGATACTAGTATGCACCTGTGCGGCTGGGTATGAAAATCTGAGGGGGTGATATGGCCGGGGCAGGAAACTGTAGGGTGGGTGGAACAGTGCCTGGGTGGTTATGGCCGGGTAAAGGTTCACCCCGGGTCCGGTTACAGCTGGGTAGAGGTTTGGTCCGGGTGACCCAAGACCTGTAGGCAAGCCTAGGTCGTATTAGGGCCAGGCCGTACTATTAATTTGGCCTGGCCCCTTCTTTCGAGCCTTAAGTGACAGGGCATAGAATCATAGAACTGACTGGCCTCAGGTAATTCATGTAGTTCCCTCTGGATTCGAACACAGCTCTGTGTTTCAACTGTTCATTGGTGTACCAAATGAGCTATGCCTATTGACCGGAGCCGCCTGCCATTTCGTCTTAGGGCATACTCACACTAGCACATTTGGTAATAAGCTCAGGATTAAAGAGGCATCCCTTGCATCACCACCTATCACCCGCGCAGTCAATCCCCCTGATTACCCGGGGCAATCAATGCTGGCGGGGGCAGAAGATTGAACTGGCTGTAATCTCTTTGATACAGGGGTCGTTGGACCGTTTTCCAGCAGGTGCAGCTCCCCAACAATTGACGGAGCAACCATGGGCACCTACTATGGGAGGCTGATCTTATCACCCCTCTAGTAGTGGCTACTGGTTTTCTGCAAAAAAAGAAAGGGTCTGAGCGGATAGATTGGATTTAGATTTAGATTTAGATTTAGATTTAGATTTAGATTAGATTAGATTACATTAGATGAGGCCGGACTAAACTTTATACTAGTTTATAGTGCGCTGGGATTACTTTTATCCTGACAAATGTTGAGACGGGTTCATATATGGCGTGTAATGAAAATGATTTTGTGAATTATATGATGCTGGCCGTGGATCTGGCGCTTATGCCCAAGCCCACCAAGCCAATCAAACGACATCCAAGAACAGACTGCTTGTGACCAATCGCTCAATATCCCACTAATCAATCCTTTGATATCATAAACGAGACACAACTAACCTCATTTGCTGAAGTTGATGACGAGGTGGTTATCCTGTAGTGTAATTCCCGATCATGTACGGTGCGCATATATATTGTCACACTGTAAATCAGCGCGCGAAGGCGGAAAAAAGCAAAACAAGGAAAGGAAAAGAAGGAAGGAATGCCCCACCTGTTCATCACCTCTTAGGCCAGCCACGTGGATGACAGGTTGAGCGCTGGCTGCCCCCATCCCCGTGGGTCACAAGGACCCACTTGCACGCAGCCAAAAGGCAAAGAGGTAAAGAAAAGGAGCAGGAAACCAGACCTGACAGGGAAAGAAAGATAATCCAATTGTCACAAAGCAAATAACACATCCCACAGATCAACATATTTTTCTTTTCTTTTCTTTTCTTTTCTTTCTTTCTTTCTTTCTTTCTTTTTCTTTTTTTTTTTTCTTTTTTTTTTTTGTGACAGAGCGCCAAAACGAAAAACAGAAACAAGAAAAACTTAATTCATTTTTAATCTTCTTCCTTACAACTACCCCTGTTCAGAACCTCTTGCATACAAGGCCGCCCACGTGGATGTAGGTTGAGCGGTGGCTGCCCCCAACCCCGTGTGTCATATCGACCCACTTGCACACGGCCAAAAGGCAAAGAGGCAAAGAAGAGAGGAAGGGAACAGCCAAACAAAACAGAACAGGGGGCAACAAAACAGATCCCACATGCAAGCACCGCCCTTGCCCACAAGCCAAACGACGGGACAAGACCAACCAGGATGTCAAAACATTTTTGTCTGCAAAGAAATCAAAAAAAGTACCAAAAATATCCCATCCCGGATGACGATTCCCACATACAAGCACCGCCCCGCGCTCAAAAGGCCGAACAACGGGAAACAACCAACCAGGATACCAAGACGATAAAAAAAAAAAACCGGATTACTGGTCCCACATGAAGCACCGCTACCTGCTGCAAAATAGACCGAATAACGGGACAAACCCAACCGGGATGCAGACAAGATTACCACAACAAAACAAATATATATATATCGTCATATATACGTATTATCTGGTCTATATAAATTAACTCGATTGGTCAGACCAGACTCACAGAGAACTACCAGGTGAACCATAAGCAGAAAGAGAGAAAAGGACAAGAAAAGGGGGGACTGCGACAAAGACGTTTCACCGGCTCATCAGGCGGATGAAAAACCCTCTACAGTGCAGGGTCCCCAGTGTAACGGATGGTACCCTCTAGAGTCTGCAGAGTCCCCAGTGTGACTGATAGTCCATCTTACATCTTAACCCCAGTCGCAGTTGGCGTTGATAAGGACTATCTGTCGCATGCCTACATGGCAAAGATCAGAACCAAGATCCGACCCAAAGAGATAGAGAAATGATAACACAGCGGAAGACTGATATACCAAGATCTGAGTCACAAATGACTTGGACTGACTGCAGCAAACTCATTATCATCAAGCAGGGTGAGAAGGCATGGCGCTGAACACAGAGATGAAGAGCACTGTGCCAACATGGCATCCACAGATGAGGAGGGGGAGAGACGAAGAAGGAGAAGATGTGGAGATGCAGTCAACTCAAATGTCGCTCGTGAAGTCTCCAAAATAGTCCCCCAATGTCTCTGTTCAAAGTCTCAACTCTCTCTCTCTCTCTCTCTCTCTCTCTCTCTCTCTCTCTCATAGAAGAAGAAGAAGAAGAATCAGAGGGAGGGAGGAAGAAGACAAGTGAGGAAGGTGGAGGAAGACGAAGAAGACGAAGAATCCTCTCGTGGTCGCATGAAGGTGGAGTCAGGAAACTAACCAGCGTAAAAGTGTCTCCTTGGAGCTGTGATGCAGGTGGAAGATGCAGGTGGAAGATGCCCGAAGACGATGAGGAGATATGGCGCCAGGTAAGTCTGGAGGTATGTCGCCTATAGCCTGGCCTCTACCTCTATTATCCTACCTCCTCTGAACTGAAGCAGTGCTGCCCCAGCAGCGTGTAGACGTCAACCTCTAACTCTGTGTGCCACAGATGAAGCTGGCCCAGCTATATTTATTGCTGGGCCTACTGCTGCGTGGCCAAGGGACTGGCGCCCGACTGAAGTGAAGCTATATATACTGCTGGGCCTACTGCTGCATGCCCAAGGACTGGCGCCCAACTGAAGTGAGCCTCCGAAACTGGACCTGGAGCTGGCGCCCAAGCTCAAACTGAAAAACTGGCGCCCAAGCTCAAACTGAAAGACTGGTGCCCAAACTCAAACTGAAATACTGGCGCCCAAACTAAAACTGAAAGACTGGCGCCCAAACTGCACTACGGGACCAAAACGGATGCTGAAATCTGGCGCGCAGCCTCACACTGAAAGACTGGAACTGGATCTGGCCTAGAAGACGGCCACTGGACCTGTTTCGGTCCCACTCGGCTCGCAGATACATGCGGAGTAACGGGAGCGCCACTGGACCAGAGTGAAACAGGGACTGAGGCCGACCAGGGGCTAGGTCCCACTTACACGAATCAAGCGATTTTGACCGTAGATAGCAAAGATCGACGGCCAGAATCTCTTAATCCGTGCAAGTGGGACCTTGCACCAGGGAAAAACAATGCTGAGGTCCACCAGAAAGGAAGAAACCCCCCCTATCTCTTACCGGTAGCCAACCCTCTATCCTACTATAAGGCCCAAGGGGCCAGTGAGGTGCAAGCCACACTATCACTCAAGAGTCCACTGAGTGAGGTGGGCACCAACCACTGCCCTCAAGGGTACCTGTGATGAGGATCAACGCATGCTCTATTTTGTATACACATATATTGTCTTTTCCGCCTTTGCGCTCGGATTCACAGTGTGACAATATATTGTCACATATCTATGAACTAAAAGAGGGCACTTTGCAAAACAAACGGTAAAAATAAAATAAGAAGACCAACATGAGAGGCACACTGAAACCATTCAGTTTTCTCATTCTTCTTGTAACTCCCCCATTCACCGTGCCTCTCACGTACTTTTTTTTTTTTTTTTTTTTTAATKCCTCTCACGTGCAAGGCTCTCCTCGTTGCGAAACAAACGGTGTAAAAAAAAAAAAAAAAAAAAAAAAACAAGACCAACATCAAGGGCACACTGAAACCATTCATTTTTCTCATTCTCCTTTTGAACCCCCCTTCACCGTGCCTTTCACGACTCTCGTATATAGATATATCGTCACATGAATATCAGAGCGCAAAGGTGAAAAAAACAGAAAACAAGAAAAAAATAATTTGTTTTTTTTTTCTTTTTCTTACAACTCCCTCTGTTCAGAACCTCTTGCGTACAAGGCCGCCCACGCGGTGGTTGCCCCCACCCCCGTGTGTCATATTGACCCACTTGCACACAGCCCCTCGTTTGTTGTCCTCTTCTCCCTCCCTCTCTGCCCCTACGGTTTACCGGGAAGCTCTGTTTGACGATATCTATTGTCACACACTGTGAATCGGAGCGCGAAGGCGGAAAAAGACAAAACAAGAAAAGGAAAAGAAGAAGGAAGGAAGGAAAGGGAAAGCTCCGCCTGTTCATCACCTCTTACGTACAAGGCCAGCCACGTGGATGACAGGTTGAGTGCTGGCTGCCCCCATCCCCATGTGTCACAAGGACCCACTTGCACGCAGATAAAAGGCAAAAAAGAGGTAAAGAAAAGGAGGAGGAAACCAAACCTCACAGAGGCAAGAGAAAGAGAAAAAGACAAGGGAAGAGGAAGGCCTATCAGTCAAGCAAAGGAAATGACACATCCCACAGATAAACCAATTGCCACTGTCACAACAAAGTTCAACATATTTTTTCCTTATTTTCTTTTTTCTTTTCTTCAGCAATTCTTTTTTTTTTTTTTTTTTTAACTATATATATCGTCAAACAGAGTTGCCCGGTAAACCGTAGGCAGAGAGGGAGAAGAGCAAAAGAAACGACGGGCTGTGACAATATATAAGTTAAGGGGGATTATCACTTAACAGTGTAATCAGTTAGGGGATTCTGCAGACTTCTCTCTCTCTCTCTCTCTCTCTCTCTCTCTCTCTCTCTCTCTCTCTCTCTCTCTCTCTCTCTCTCTCTCACTACGGGAATTCTTCAAGTGTGACGACGACGCGATGATGACAGGACTCTGCAAGGACTAGGGTTCAGCCGGATGGGGTAGGATCTGGACCAAAGGGTATATATAGTGATGACAATGGCTGAAAGGATTACCTGAGCAGAGAGGTAGAAAGGAAGTCGCGACTGTTTTGTCGCAAGCCATGGACAGGACGTGCATTCTGTGAAAGTAAAACCTCGCACGTGTTGTCCAATATTGCAAGTGTGTCTCTCTCTCTCTCTCTCTCTCTCTCTCTCTCTCTCTCTCTCTCTCTCTCTCTCTCTCTCTCTCTCTCTCTCTCTCTTCTTTCTTTCGTTTACACGCGTGCCCCGCTTTCGCGTTTCCAAACTTTCCCCATCCAAATTCCTTCATCACCCTCCTCCTGCGATCCTGGCTTTTGCCACTACCCCTATGGCCTATTCTACCTACCCCTATTGCGATGCTTTTCCGATCTCTCCCGATCCTCATCTCCCGTCACCGATTGCGATGCTTCATCGACGCCTCTCTTCTGCCCTACCCCTCTTTTCACGATTTCAAAGATCTATCCAGCCCCCATTTTCAACACTTCCACCTCCTACACTCATCCAACTTCTTGACATCACCAACCTCCTCCCCCCCCCCCCCCCCTCGGTGGTCATCATCTTGATTCAATCTCGCCTGGCCCTCCCCTTCCTCCTCCCATCGTATCTTCATGTCTTCAACGGTTCCCCATTCCCTTCCTTTCACAAATGCTTCCACATCGAACTGAACATATCCACAGGATGACTCGGAGGAGGAAGGAGAGAAGAATGACGTCGAGGAGGACGACAGAACAAACACATGGAGGACGAAGACATGGAGAAGAAAGAGGGGGGGAATCAATACATAGAGGAGAGGAGAACATTGAAGAGAATAGGCAAAGAGGGAGGAGGAGGAGGAGGAGGAGGAGGAGAAAGGATCAGACCGCGCTTACCTCTTTCGCATGGAGCTGTTCACCACTCCGACAACGCAACGAAGAATATTCCACTCTTGGCGGATTCCAACATCAAATCTAGAGCAGCACACTGCTCATGTTTCCACACTGCCCTCTCTGTGTGTGTGTGTGTGTGTGTGTGTGTGTGTGTGTGTGTGTGTGTGGCAAGCACTACGCGGCCCCCAAGGACACACCCGCAATAGCACAACGCGCACACGCACAGACCCACGCGCGCACGTGCACGTGCAAGTGCACGCACACGCACGGACCTGCGCGCGCACGTGCACGTGCACGCACGCCAACGTACGCACACGCACGCACCCGCGCGCGTGCACGTACGTGCACGCACGCCAACGTACGCACACGCACGCACCCGCGCGCGCACGTGCACACACACGCGCAGTAAGGAGGGCGGCAGTGGGCCTAACGATAGAGCGGCCGTAAGACCTGCCGGCACCACCGGCCTCCCAGCACCGGTAGACTAGGCCTATTCTATGTCCATCGGGGCCGTTGGGCCAGTGGTGCCGAGCCGACGTCCTGGATTCAACAGGCCCCTTAATTCGCAGCCTTAGGGCTGCGGTATAGTGGGCTTCGGTGTTCGCAGCCCGTCAAGGGTGCGTTTTGCGTTTTATGCCCCTGAGAACATTTTTTTATACTATACTGTCGTCGTTGGAAGGCTGGAAAAACAAGGCATGGCAGTTTAGGGGGTGGTGGCATCTTATTTGAAATTGACTTACCGTGAGGGCACGGGGGCGCAGCACCGTAGTTTGGTTGTTGATGTTGTTGTGTGTGTGTGTGTGTGTGTGTGTGTGTGTGTTTGTGTGTGTGTGTTTGTGTGTGTGTGTGTGTGTGTGTGTGCGTGTGTGTGCGTGTGTGTGCGTGAGAGAGAGAGAGAGAGAGAGAGAGAGAGAGAAATCAGGCGCGGCGCCACTTTGTCGAAACGCCTTGATTGATAAGGCACCACGCTCCCCACGCACACAGGGAGACTATCACTTTGTGAACGCAGAGGGAACGGGAGCAGCCGCCGCTGCTTTTGGCCTGTTTCGATTTCGACCACGACAGGCTTCGAATTCAAATCACCACTCTACCCGACGTTGGAAATTCGGGGGACCGGTAGCACAGGTCGATGAGGGCTACCAGTAGCACAGAGTGGAGAACCGGCAAAGTGGTGAATATGGAAAATGGGATGAATTTGCGCTATAAGCTATTTCGCAGTTGAGACAATGTTTTTAATTTTTAAAAATATTTTTCCTGAAAAGATAATGACCAAATCTACGAACCCTCAAATTTCCAGACTTGTTTACGAGTTCTTCTGAGCGTGAAAAATCTTTGAAATAGGGGTACTTTTCCTGTTGGCCAACAAGTTGTCTGTGCCAAAAATGGAAAACGTGACGAATTGGCGCGACATTTATTTCATGGTCTAAACGATTTTATTTTATTTTGTTGATATTTTTCCTGGAAAAATCACAATCTGCCCTACCCGATATCAAATTTTCAGATATTTTCTCCAATTATTATGCGTACGAAAAATCTCCAAAGTTGGCGCTCGAAAATTGCAAGATTGGACCCGCCTGCGCCTTCCAGTCGGCGCCCCCCCCAAAAACCCGCCCTAACTCACCACAGGGTCTGCGTCCACGCCGTTTCAGATTCGAAATTTCAAGGCCCTAATGCCATGGGCATCTACCGGTCCTGCACTTCCTTGAACTGCCTATTTCCCACGAATTGGACCCCCAACAAATACACCACCCTTCCAACTATCGCACCGTTTGGTGACGATAACGAAAAATGTTCCCAAGGCATAAAAAACGCAATGTTCCCAGGGCATAAAACGCATCCCTGACGGGCTGCGAACTACAGGACCGGTAGCTGCCCGTGGGACCGCACGGGTTTAGGTCGGAAAATCGAAACGGGGCCAAAGCAGAGACGGCGCACCCGTTGCCTAACTGACTTACCGTGAGGGCACGGGTGCGCAGCTCTTCAGTGGTGCATTTCCCCCCCTTATAACATTTTTCGTCGTCGTTCTTTATACGGTCGTTGGAAGGCTGTTCGCAGCCCGTAAAGGTTGCGTTTTCCCCCCCGAGAACATTTTCCGTCGTCGTTCGTTATATGGTCGTTGGAAGGCTGTAAATTTTGACTTACCGTGAGGGCACGGGTGCGCAACCAGTAGTTTGTTTGTTTATGTGGTTCGGGAAGGGTAAGGTAGTGAATATGCTGTATGTATGTTTTGTCATGTTCGCTATACACAACTCGAAGTGAGTGTGTGTGTGGGGTCCCGGTTGATGCTTTATTCACCCCCTGAGAACATTTTTCGTCGTCGTTCGTTATACGGTCGTTGGAAGGCTGGAAAATTTGACTTACCGTGAGGGCACGGGTGCGCAACCCGTAGTTTGTTTGTTTATGTGGTTCGGGAAGGGTAAGGTAGTGAATATGCTATATGTATGTTTTGTCATGTTCGCTACACACAACTCGAAGAGAGTGTGTGGGGGGGGTCCCGGTTGATGCTTTATTCACGATCTTCATGGGACGGGGGACCCAGTTTCCAGCAGGTGGCGCTCCCCATCAATAGACAGGAGAATGTATATGCGTGTGTATGTGAGTGTGTGTGTGTGTGTGTGTGTGTGTGTCAAAAACGATCCCACGACAAACCATGCCATGTACCCCATCATCACAGTGGTACACCTGGACCGGTCACAACCCTTCAAACGTTGCTCACTGCCACCATACCATCATGCATTCGCCTTTATTTATCACGCGCGAAGGGATTATGAGCAGCACCTAGACATCCTCATGCTATTCATCCATGTTTTACAATAACAATAGAAATAAAGGCAGATCAACCTATCAGCGGGTGTTGGGTTTTTCATCATCGTCTCATTCCAGCCCGTTTCCTTGGTTGGGGTATGGCTTCAATTGGACGGGGATGGAGTCTCATCCCGATATCGCTTCCTCACTCAAGACAACTAGTCAATCCTTTGATCTGCGGACGTAGGCAGGTTTGCTGCCTCGTGGCAGTCGGACTGGTGGTCCGGGGTGGTGAATGCGGTTCGGCTGTTCATTGCAGGGGTTCGTTACATGGCCCAATAATATCGTGCTTGCTAATTGGCATTGCCAAACTAGCCACGTTACTGTCGGGTGATGTCAGGATCCCATCAGCGTCCTGAACAGTCTTTAAACAATCCCTTTATCCCCATAATTAGGGAGAGGGGGAAACGACATATATACATGCATTGGGGACGGGAACAAGTTATACCAGGAGCATTTCATTTCATCAAACTGTAAAGCGGACTCCATAACGACAAATAATTAAAAAAAAAAAAAAAAACAAAAAAAAACACGGAAACCAAAAAATGTTATAATCAGATTATTACAGACAAAGGAAAGCTACCGAACTCGATCGCCCATCCCCGGCTCCTCTCCTTCCATCCTGTTGTTATCTGCACAACTCGATATGGTTCCCTCCCTTCCCCTCGATTACTGTTCTCCACTTGCTTCCATTCCCCCTTTCCGATTCTCTCCCTTAATATTTCTATCCATCCTCGTCCCCCGGTGCTTGCCACACCTCGTGCGCCCCATTCTCCTCCTCTCACGCGTAGTCCCTCCGCTTCTATTACTCCGAGCTACATGCGGATTCGACTTCCATAGATACTCGGTTACCGTGACTGTCAAGACAAAATGCACATGACCCGCTTCTCCTTGGGTGCTCCCGATGCTGGCAGGAGGGGTGTGGCTCCCCTACAAGCTTTTTCGCCATTGCCACCAACCGGTTCGTCAGAGGGGTTAAAACACCTGCATCACAAACGTACACGCTCCCAATCCCCGGAGGCATGCAAAAAAACAAGGTCCATACAAAGAGAAAAGTACGAGGGAGATATACCGCTGCTTCCGCCGCTCTCTCCTCTTCGGTGTTGGGCGTGAGCGGTAAGTCCTCGTCCGCTCCCGTCGAAAAGTCCCAGTCTGCCATCGTAATCGAAGTATCGCCGGTTCGCCTCGTCCGAAGGTTTGCTCAGTACAAGCAAGCTCACACAAATGCATGCCAATCAAGCAGAAGTGTAGGTATATATCGAGAGACTTATCGGGGCGGGTACCATCATGATCAGGGGCGGGAGATTCCTTCCCTCAAATTTCCCTGGGATTACCTTCGTCTTAGGATCACGCTCGTCAACATTCGAGGAGTTATGTTTTTGTGTGTGTGGTCCAATGCCTTGATCCTGCAAATTCCCATGGGATTTCCTTCGAATAAGAACCGCGCTCGTCAACTTCCGGATGCGTTACCGTCGATCGGTCCAGATTCGTCCGCTTCAAATCAGGGAGTCAGCTCTGGACTCTTTCCTGTGCTTCTCCGTGTGGTCCCCTGTTCGGTAGGCCAGATCAGCGTCCGGGGGATTTTTCCTGTAGGTCCAAAACCGGTCCATCCGTAACTCGTTTCCACGTCCTCCCCCTTTTTTTGGTGGTATTCTTTTGAGTGGGAAGGGGGTGGGGGTAGGGGACCCCCAACCGCAGATGCCGTGGTTGCTTCCTTCCTCCTCTTCGGGACCTACCTTCCTTACCTTGGGGTCTTGGATGTGTCCTTTGTG